AAAAAGTTTAATTTTCGCAACTTAATTATCGACTTGTTAATAGCAATTTGCTGTGGAATATGTGCCAATCGGGTCCAGTCGGGTCTGTGTCTTCCTGGCCGGGTTCGGGTCCATCTTTCAAATAATTGACGGTCCGCCTCGGTTCCGGGTAGTACATTTTTGACATTTCTCGGTTCTGAACGGGCCCGGGTCCAACTTTCAAAATAATAGACGGGTCCGGGTCGGTTCAGTGTAGCACATTTACGGGTCTCTTTGAATTTTTGGACCCGTGTAGACCTCTAGCTCCTTTTGCTTTAATTACTGCCTCAATTCGGTGTGGCATGGAGGTGATCAGTTGGCAATGAATGTTTGTGGCTTACCCTCCTTGTGAAGGGTGTCAATGATTGTCTTTTGGACAACTGTCAGATCAGCAGTCTTCCCCATGATTGTGTAGCCTAGTGAACCAAACTGAGAGAACATTTTGAAGGCTCAGGAAACTTTGCAGGTGTTTTGAGTTGATAAGCTGATTGGATCAGTCACCATATTCTAATTTGTTGAGATAGTGAATTGGTGAGTTTTTGTTAAATGTGAGCCAAACTCATCACAATTAAAAGAACCAAAGACTTAAACTACTTCAGTCTGTGTGCATTGAATTTATTTAATACACAAGTTTCACAATTTGAGTTGAATTACTGAAACAAATGAACTTTTCCACAACATTCTAATTTATTGAGATGCACCTGTATGGCGAAGCTGACGGTAGTTACTTCAGAAACTATATGCTGAATATGCTGTAACTTTTCAGTTTTTAAGCTGATAAATCACAGGACAGCGTTGACCAAATTTTCTTCATTCCTGAATGTATGCGTGCGATCTGTACGTTATGTGCGAGCTTGTGTGTTTTGTCCGTGTGCAGCAATGTAGCAGCACATTAGTTTCGAGCGAGATTAACAAACTGTACAATTTACAACATGCTTTAACCTCCCACATTTGTCCATCGCCATTTTAACCTTCATATGTGATCCACATATCTGTCAAGCTAACTAATTATGTTTAATGCGTGAGTTGTAGTGATGGGAAACCGAGGCTTTCTGAAGCGTTTGAGGCTTTCATGAAATTGTGCCGGAAAATGGTTCATTACTCGAAGTTTTTAACACAGTGTGCATTAGCGGCATCTGGTGGTCGGACTTTGTTTTCTCTACCATTTCTGACAAATCATTGCGGAGCAGAGGATGGTTTGAAAAAGCATGTGACCAAAAGCTTCGGAAGTCTGTGACATTCAAGAGTGGAATCAATCTGGGATCAATCAATACAATATCTAATCTGATATAATCTCATCTAAATTCATTTCTGCCAATGAGACCACAACTCGTGTCATGTATAGCTTGGTAAACAGATTCACATATCGATCAATAATATAAAATACACAAACATGTGATCATGATTAATAATTAATGTGGGTAGCTGAAAAAATATATATTTTGGGTGAGCTGTTATACCCTTATGTTGTGTTCGGGATCTCTGAGACCCCAGTTATAAACATGATTAAATGTCCTATTGACAGCCCTCAAAGTGACTGAATAATCCTTTTATGCATCAGGTGGAATCTTAAAGCGCCAGTTTTTTCAAACCAGCTGTCCCGACTCCTGACCTTCCAATACTGCATGACGTTCGAAGCTTCAAATGCCAAGTGCTCAAAACTGGCCACTTAAAAAGAGCCTTTCGATATGAAGGATTTCCCCCATGATCCTTTGCACAGGAAAGTTGTTTGGCGTCACATAGTTCGACTTCACCTATAAATGTAGGCCTATAGTATTTTTCTATACTACTGTAATATTTATATGAGTTAGATTTGGTACATTAATATGGTCAAAACTACGTTGTACTTAAACAATAATACTTTACAGCTACCTTTATCAGTCCATTCAAATGTTTCAAATACATAGAAATATTAATTACAAATACATATTACATTACATATACAAATATACATTATATTTAATGTAAAAGATGTTTGGGGGTCAACCAGCGTACAAAACGTACGATCCTTGATCGTCTCGTTAAGATGATGCAGAAGTGTCTTTCTAAACACTCCTACACCCTTCATCCCTTCGAAGCTGGTCTCTGTGAACAGCTGTTTTTTACAAAAAGGGTGTTGTTTTATACGACTGTTGAGGAATTTTAACCAAAGTATGTTGCAGACATTTCTTAAAGACCCTAAAGAATCATACCAACTTGTGGAAAAGGGGCATCCGATGTCCCCTTAAAGAAATGTAAAGCTAGTTCATGCAAAAAAATTATAATTCTGTCATCCTTTACTCCCCAGGGTTTCTGCAGGTCTTAAAAAGTCTCAATTCACCCTTCTACAAATGAAGGCCTCAAAAAAGTCTTAATCAGAGCTGAAAGTCATAAATTCAGAAGCCATGGCATTAAATGCGGCGTGCACTGCAAAAAAATTAAATAAATAAAAAAAAAAATTTAAATTAAGAGGTTTAACTTGCTCAGTATTTTTGTACAAATATCTTAACATCCTTAAATCAAGATACATTTACAGGGATTAAAGTTTTCCGTCGCTACGACAGATTTCTGTCAACTGGAAAAAATGAGGGGGAAAAAAACATGTAGCGCATTGTTGTTGTTGTTCTGCCAGCACACCAAAAATCATCCCCTCCACTGCTGCAGCTTCTCAGTGACAACATATGCCGCTCGCATCATTCACAGTCAGGTTATTAGCAGAGAACACAAAGCAGAACTTGAATTTCGGTGTGGGATTGCGGCTATTAATAACAATTCTAAGATTTTGCTCTTTCATCAAGGAAAATAGTTCCAAATAAAGTAACAGCTCAGCTGCTGCGCATCTCTAAAAGCAAACACAACAGTGTTTAATCCATGAATGAAAGTGTGTTTTTGAACGAATCTAGTGAGTCCGTGATTCATGATTACCCATTCATAAAGACAGTCACTTGCTTCATTCCTGAATGAATCAGCCGTTCGAAAGAATCAATTGAATGAATGAATCAGTGACTTACTGCCACCTGCTGGCGGATTTAGTTTCATTTTTAGCGTATAATTTCAGTTATTTAAATCATTTAATATTTCTGTATTCAAAATTTTATATTTAAAACATTAATCTCCACATGAATTTATGAATTTAATTGCACTCATGCCACCTCTGAGCCTCATTAAATGTGTGAAAATGTACCTACAAGGTACACTTGTGTGTTCTTCTGTGCACCCTCTGTAGTACAAATTAATTTTTTATTAATATTAATTTCATATGATTGGTAACTTATTTGTCTTATTCTACTTAAATTGTTTTAAATAGAAATTTTAAAAAGCTTATAAACATACATTATTTTAATTTAACAGATGAAAATGATGCCATTACAAAGGTAAAAAACAAACAAACCTGTCAAAGTCCCTTTAAGTAGTCAAATGTCACATCCTATTAGGAAGGCTAATTTTTGATCAGAATTTAAAATTATTGTGTTGCTCTAAACCTTTATGACTTTTTCTTTATATCTGAAATGTTTCAGTGTTTTGTTGTTGTTTGTCCATACAGTGAATGTCAAAGGGGTCCAATGTTGTTTGGTTCCCAATGATTTTCAAAATATCTTCTTGTGTGTTTCTGCAGAAGAAAGCAAGCCATACAGGAAAAACATGAGAGTGAGAAAATGATGACAGAATGAACTATTCCTTTAAGTATACAATTTCCTTTTATTTTAATTGGTGAACATTCAAACAGTGTTCACTGTCAGACAGCACAGTAGTGTTTGCATAATGAACCATCTATAGCGCATATAACTACATTCAGGTTTACAGCATCTCTCTTTCATTTACCTAAAACTATAAGAAGCCCTGCTGTTTCCCTCTTGAAATCATCTCGAGTGTAAACTCTACTTCAGATCTGCGTGTGATGAGCTGCTTTACATGCTACTGAAACGAGTGAACTTTAGCATCTCATCTCGTTTGTTGAGACCACAGAGAGATGCGTGGTTTAAACAGAAATCAAGCGCGGATCCACACCAACAAACACGATTCAGCTCATGTACTCTGATATAGAGCTGCAGCAAACACATATACAACGACAGTAAGACACAGAGAATGACACTCACAGATTCATCTGATTTATATTTAAAAAATGAAAAATATAAATATGATTAAAACAAGACACAAACACAACAGCATGTTCATGAAGGGCCTGAAGTGAGCGAACAGGACAGATAAACTCAAACCAGATCATCAACACATATGTACACAGAAATGGATGATCTGATCTTCAACAAAAACTACTGTCTTCACAAAATGTGCAAATAATCTGAATTTGTGCATAAGCAGAAGATCATTTATAGTGTATATAATACTCACAATTAAAGGTCAATTGTTTAAGTGTCTTAAAGGGGTCCTATTATGCTTTTTCACTTTTTCAACTTTAGTTAGTCTGTAATGTTGCTGTTTGAGCATAAAAAAGATCTGCAAAGTCCCCTTCAAAAGGAGATATTTTATTTAACAGAAATCACTTTTCAAAAACTACAACGAACGACTCGTTTGGACTACAATGCATATTTTCCGAGATTTGTGATATCACAAATATCGACGAATAGGACGAGACCTGGTTGAGCTCCACTAGAGAAGGCAACGAGTGTTATCACTATGTCAGAGAAACGCTAGCTTTCCCAAGGCAGACAAACTTAGAGTGATTACAATCATCTGGGTTTAAATTGCGCTCAAATTGATTTGATTTTGACGCAATATTTACACTGAAGCTCGCAGTAAGGGCTGAAAATGACATTTCCCGACCAGGCGCCGAGTGCTGCCAATCACAACACACACTGGCCCAGCTAACCAATCACAGCACTATTTCAGAAGGCGGGCCTTCATTTGATACAGGAACTATTCGAGCCGTTCATGCCAGACTGGGGAGAGAGGTGTTGTAATAATGTAAAATATGTGAAAAATAATGTGTTTTTCAAACAACCTAGTATGAGAGCCTGTTCTAGTACACCCCCAAAACAAAATAAACTTTGTAAAAGAGAATAATAGAACCCCTTTAATAACAGAACTTCAGTCAAATGAAGTTAAATCATGATGCATTATTTAAAAAGTTACATAATTACAAACTAGATAAAACTAGAAACTAAAAACTACACTTAAGTCACCAAATTTATATCACCAAATTATTCAATTCAAATCATTACCAGTTTTTATGCAAGCATTTAGGATCAAATAGTTAAAAACAAGATAAGAAAAATATTATATTTATATATTATATATTTTTGTTTCAAACTCTGAAATGAGTGTCCTCAAGAGCGTTTAGTATGCTGCTTCTGCAGTCACATATTCTGCAATACATCAACTTGTAAGTTTATGTCTCAAACACATTCTAATGAGAATCTTTAAAGCATGAACTGTCTGATTAACATTTACTCAATCTATAACAGATGAAGTTCTAATACGAGAATTATGCAAGTAGGTCACAGTGTGACTGAAGGTATACAGACGAGAGGAAAGTCTTCCACAGTGCAGGCTGGAAACCACATCTGTGGGCACCGTTTCCTGTGGCAGCAGCACATGCTTGAGTGTGTGTGTGTGTGTGAATAAACACAGCAGACAGAAAGACATACGAAGAGTCAAGGGAAGAGCTAAACAACACAGCAGTGCAGGAGGAAGTTCACAAGCAGAAGAACATCAGACTGATGTGGATCTGTTCAGCTCCTGCAGGATGTCACTGATTCGCCCCTGAGCTTCAACCAGTCCGTCCTTCCACTCCTGTGGTACGACTGAGCCGAGATACACCGCCCGGGCCCCAAGAAGAGCCCCCAACGCTGCCCCACGGTTACAGTTCTCACCTGTGGACACACACAGCATGTTAAAGGAGGAGTTCACACAGAAATTAAAAAGAAAATATTCTCACCCTCAGTCCATCCAAGATGTAGATGAGTTTGTTTCTTCATCAGATTTGGAGAAATTTAGCATTACATCACTTGCTCACCAAAGGATCCTCTGCAGTAAATCGGTGGCATCAGAATGAGAGTTCAAACAGCTGAAAAATACATCACAACAATCCACAAGTAATCCAAATGACTCCAGTCCATTTAGTGTCTTGTGAAGCCAAAAGCTGGCTGTTTATATTACACATTCATCAAGACATTTTTAACTTCAAACTGCTGCTTCTGGCTAAAATACGAGTCCATAATAACACTTCCTCTAGTGAAAAAGTCCATCCCCTGTTGCCTATATGTTTGTCTAGAACAATTTAAACTGTGCTTAAACTGTGCATATTTCTCTCCTGATTCAGACCAGATTACTTTTTCAGTGGTTATGGATTATGGATTATGAACTCGTATTTTAGCCAGGAGCAACAGTTTGAAGTTAAAAATGTCTTGATGGATTTGTTTCTCACAAACACACATCTTTTGGCTTCACAAGATACTGATGGTCTGGAGTCGTGTGGATTATCATGATATATATTTATCAGCTGTTTGGACTCATCCATTCACTGCATAGTATCCATTGGTGAGCAAGTGATGTAATGCTACATTTTATCAAATCTAATGAAGAAACAAACTCATCTACATCTTGGATGGCCTGAGGGTGAGCACATTTTCATTTTTGGGTGAACTATTCTTTAAACACACACATATTATCATCATCAGCACAGCTGAACATGCCATTCAGTGAGTGAGTCACAACACTCAGTCATTCAGAAACGCACCTCCACAGTTGGTGTTGGTCAGGATTCCCCCCGTCACGTCATTATGAAAGCTGTAGGCCAGGTAGAAGAGACTGCTGAGAGCTCCTGAACACAAACACACAGTCAGAGGAGCATCATCAGTAGTTTTGTTTGTAATCGTCTGGGGTTTTCTAACCTTGTGTGTAGCAGGCGATTCCGAGAGACTCCACAGCGCTCTGATGAACCTTCAGACGCTCCACTGATGATCCTGGAATCCTGCAGAAGAGACACAAGCCATGGCGTTTCAGAGTCATTCATCAGATTGTTACTGCGGATTGAATCTCAGATTTCACATTTCACCTCAAATGTTTAGAGTAAAAAAACCAGTGAATCTTATTTTTAAGAGCATTTTTTGATCATTTTTCCATGATAATTTAACACATTTAACATGAAAATTCTCAATGCAATGTAATGCAAAAAAAATCTAATATTCATTTTTATAAATCTTTATTCCTTTGTGTTATGAGTATTAATTATATTGTTTTATATTATCTATGCCATGTATTTTATTCTGTTCAGCACTTTGATTAGCTTTGCTCTATTTATATGTGCTATATAAATAAATTTTACTTGCTAAATGTAATATAAAAAACATATTTTGGGCACTGTAAAGTACATTTGTAAAATTCACTGAATAGCTGCAGATCAAGAAAAAGGACATGTATTATAGTAATAAGAATTTATGGTTAAATGTGTTTAATTCAGTGTTATTTTAGTATTATGAAGGATCTAAGGATTCTTTAGCAACCTGTGTGTGTTTTGCTTCAAGACAGCATTTGTGTTGTGTTTTACTTTCTTTCTTTTATATTAATTTATTCTTCATTCATTAATTCACTTAATCATTTTATTATTCCATTTAATCATATAATCATTTAAGCAATTTATATACTCATTTCATTGATTCATGTATCGATTAGACATTTATATTATATTATGTTTTATATAATTTTTCCATTGTTGTTTAGTCTTATGATGTGTGGTTTCAAGGTATATTTGTCTTCATGAGTAAGAGATAAAATCCATTTCAAGGTTTTTAACATCATGGGACATTGTTGAGAAGCAGTCATTTTCCATTCCTATTGTTTGTGATATAATAACACTTGTTGGATTTATGCTGGTCAGACAGAGTCTGAGCATTGAAACATACTCAACTAAGATTATCCAATAAACTTTGCTCCCTTTTTTTAATCATCATCACTTTCTGCTCTTCTCTGGCTTTGCTCAGTCAACTTCTTGGCTGATAGAAGACTGTTAATACAGTTTTGGGTACCAGACAAGTCTTGCTCTTAACAGGTTTTTTGTATTAGACAACTTTGCTTACTAGTTGTTTGTTTACCAGTCAAAACAGAAATTTTCTTACAGGAACTGGCTGCATCTGATATTTCTGACGTGGGGGCATGACCTTGGTCTGTTCACCGCGGGACCCCCTCAAGCGTGGGGCCCGGTGCGACCGCACCAGTTGCAGCCCTGCATGTTAAAGTTTACAGGTCTTTAGTTCTCGTGGCCAGGTGCAGCTTAAACCATTTAGGCACTGTTATATTTTGGGAGTAGGTTTGCTGAAGCTTGATTTCCTGTATTGTCTTTAGATGTTTTGTTTAAGTAGTCACTTCTGAGGCTATGTGTACAGTCGACACCTTTAAGAGCTGCCCACTGAATGACTATAAAATACAATGTATGCCTCCCTTAGTCAGACTTTTGATGACTGCAGCGCCACAAAGCAAGTTCTAAATAAAGTGTCCTGCTGAAGATACCCAAGATTCTCCTGGTCTTCGCTTCTGAGTTACCAACAGTTTTGGTGTCGTGACCCAGAGCTTCTCGCCTCGTTCCAGACTGAATTTCAGATCCTTTTCTCAGCTCAACAATGATTTGGTGAGTTTTACTCTATCCAAAGGACCACTATACAGACCAGTAAATTTAGTTATCCTCTATGCTATTAGAGATGTGTTAACAAACAGCTACAGGGTTTGGTTAACAAACTAGTTATCCTCTGCTTTGCCAGGGAAGAAGGTTTATTCTGTTTAGTCAGAGAAGGGTAACAACTATTACAGTGTCTTAGCAAGTTGATTATCCTCTGTGTTGCGTTTACATTATGATGTGTATTAACTATAAGTTATCCTCTGCATTATTGGTGTATCCTCTGCTTTGCCAGTGAAGGTTAACAACCGTTTTTCTATGTTAACAAGTTTATCCTCTGCCTGCCAGAGAGGTGTTGGAAATGTCCTGTTGTATAAAGACATTACAAAATGTTGAGAAGGAATGCTAGGCTGATTCCAACAACTGAGAAAGGTGGACTAGCCACTCATTTATGGACAGGGAGTTCAAATCATTGTTAGGAAAGCACGTGGACTCAGCAGTGACTGAGTCAGTCAGATTGGATTTGACAAAGAAATTTGCTATTGATCCAGAAAAAGTATGGTCAAATAAAGAATGCAAAAAGGTACTTGGGGCATGTATCAGAAAGAAAAACATAAAAGGCATTATCTGCTGCCACAGAGAATTTACTTTATCCTTAGCACAAGAACAAACTCAGTGTATTGCTAAATTAAAAGAACACAACAAACAACTACAAACTAGAGTGTCTTGTCTCACTAAAAAGGTGGGCCATAACAAGGCCTCAACTAAAAGTGACTCAAAAGACCAACAGTCAGATGAAAGCTATCCTGATTTATACTCTTTTTGTAGACTAGAGGACAATCGCTATACTGGATTGATGGATAAAAATGTAAATGCAGTTGAAGTGTGTGGAACAAGACAAAAAGCTCAGAGTAGGGCAGAAGGGGTTGACACTGTTCAATCTGCAACCCCCATACTAAAGTTATAGTGCCTTGCGAAAGTATTCATACCCCTTCATTTTTTCACATTTTGTTATGTTGTTGCCTTATGATAAAATGCTTTAAATTACCCTTTTCCACATCAATCTACACTCCACACACCATAATGACAAAGAAAATATTTTTTAACATATTTGCAAATTTGTTAAAAATAAAAATAAACTTAAATTATTCCATTGCATAAGTATTCATCTGGGACAGTTGAAATTTAGCTCAGGAGCATTCATATTGCTTGTAGATGTTACTACACTTCGAGTGAAGTTAACCTGTGGCAATTTCAGTTGAATGAATATGATTCGAAAAGGCACACACCTCTCAATAAAGGTCTAACAGCTGAAAATGCATATCAGAGCAAAAACCAAGCCCTGAGGTCAAAAGAACTGCCTGTAGGGCTCAAAAACAGGATTGCATCAAGCCACACATCTAGGGAAATTCTGCTGCACTGAAGGTTCGTAGAAGCATGTAGTCTCCATTGCTCTTAGTGGAAGAAGTTTGAAACAACAAGGACTCTTCCTAGAGCTGGCCTCCTGGCCAAACTGAGCAATCGATGGAGAAGGGCTTTGGTTAGACTGGTGACCAAGAAGCTGATGGCCACTCTAGTTGAGCTCCATGATCATATGTGGAGACAGGAGAAACCTACAGAAGCACAAACATCACTGCAACACTCCACCGATCTGGTCTTTATGGCAGTGTGGCCAAACGCAATCCTCTCCTCAGTGAAGACACATGAAAACACACTTGGAATTTGCAAAAAAGCACCTAAAGAACCCTCAGATTGTGAGAAACAAGATTCTCTGGTCTGATGAACCGCAATTCCAAACATCATGTTTGAAGGAAACCAGCTCTGCTCATCACATGCAGAGTTGCATCCCAACAGTAAAGTGTGGTGGTAGCAGCCTTATGCTGTGGGGCTGTTTGTTTTTCAGCAGCAGGGACTGAGGGACTCATCAGAGTAGAAGAAAAGCTCAGTGCACCAAAATATTGAGATGGCCTTAATGAAAACCCAGTCCAGAGCATTCAGAACCTCAGACTGGGCAGAAGGTTCACCTTTCAACAGGACAATGACCCTAAGCACACAGCAAGAGTGGCTTATAGACAACTCTGTGAATGTCCTTGAGTCGCCCAGCTTGGGCTTGAACCCAATCAAACATTTTTGGAGAAACCTGAAAATGGGCATCTGTCCCCATCCTACCTAACAGAGCTTAAGAGGTGAAAAGGTGAGGACAAGAATGGCAGATAATTGCCAAATGCTGATGAGCAAAGCTTGTTGCATCATACCCAAAAAGACTTGAGGCTGTAAAGGCCCTGATATACTTCAAGCGAAATCAAACAATGAACTGATGTGACGTCATTTTGAACAAAAAACATTTTGGGAGTTCGAAATGGCTTGCCAAAGCAAACTTTACGGAAAAGTTTGTTCCGGCTGAAAAACACCTTCGTACTATCATTGGTCCGTAACGATTACATCATAGGAGGTGTGTGCTGAGGCTCCGCCTTCTTTCATGCGGAACTCTTCTCTGGGTTCATTTCATCTGTCGAATCCCTGGAGGTGAGATGTCCGCGTGGAGAGCCACTTTATAGTAGCAAATTAAGATTTGCTTTTAAGTTCAGTTTTTTTTAATTAAGTTAAGTTTTGTCAAGTTTAATACTGCTGCTTGCTTTTAAGCAATATATTGAATAAAGTGCCATGTAAATACACGTGACGTGACTACACGGGAGTGCTAATTTGCAGAGCTCGTGCAAGCATAACATTTTGCTATGAACAGATGCTTTTTATAAAAAATGCTTGCTGTCCTCTCCATTTTTTGTTTTGTTAATTTTGTTACTGAGAGGAAAGCTGGCAGCACATATTTACATATTCTTTTAATCATCGCTTTCATCAGAGTGGGTGGCGTCGGGATGTTCGATAACAGTATACTGCTGCTCACGTATTTCAAACTTCGTTTTACCCCTAAACGAAGAACGAAAAAGAACTTCGTTTTAAGTATATTGGGGCCTTAAAGGTGCTTCAACTAAGTACTGAGTTAATGGTATGAATACTTATGCAATGTACTTATTTCAGTTTTTTTATTTTTAATAAATTTATGAAGTTTTGACAATTCTGTTTTTCCTTAGTCATTATGGTGTGTGGTGTGTAGATTGATGTGGAATTTTTTTTTTTTTTTTAAGTACTTTAACAGAAGGCAGCCACATAACAAAACAGTGAAAAAAATTAAGGGGTATGAATAATTTCGCAAGGCACTGTACAAGCAGTCAATACAGCTCTAGGCCATAGAATGACTTGCTTTCACGTTTATGTTCCTGTTTTTCCTTATTTGGTCATGTTCCTGTGTTCCCTGATTAGTTGCCATAGTTATCATTATTGTCTCATTTGTGTCATGTGTGTTTATCCATTAGTCTTGTCTGTGTTTCCTATTTAAGCCTGTCCCTGAGTTTCTTTCACTGTTTAGTCACTGTTGTATTTTGGCTTAGTTCCATGTCTTTGCTCCTGCGTTCCTTTCTGTTCCTGTGCCCAGAGAAGCCGTGACACTTGCTGAGAGTTTGCCATCAGTCATTGGAAATTTTTCTCAGTTCAGGAGAGACTTGCATCTTGCGGCTCTATAATATGTCCCTAGCTGAAGTCACCCAGCTAATGTCACAGATCTTGACAGAATCAGAATTCAATGATTTTGAAAGTGCTATAAATAATTCTGAGTTTCAACATGCCAGCAAAGATGAATTGAGAGAGGGAGTTCTGAGAGTGTTGAAAGAACATTGTTGGACCAAAATGGACTGGTCAAAGATCACTTGTTGTGTACAGAAAAGATGAAACTGTCAGTGAGTACACTGAAAGGTTTTGTCAGTCAGCTGAAGGTATCAGAAGATAACGGACCACTGGTTCATGTGTGGTTTGATGGGCTTTCATCAGATTAAACATTTCATCCTTCATAAACCCTACATGGTCTAATGAAACTTTACAAAATAACTTGGGCAAACTGGCTACTTGGGAGAGAGACTCTGTTGTCAAGGCAAATGTTAACATTGCAGCAGTATCCTTTAAGTTAAACACAAAGAACCGAAAACGTAAATGTCCTACGAAGGGCAATTGTCATTACTGTGGTAAACCTGGACATTGGATGTAAGAATGTAGGAAAAACAAAAGCAACGTAAGAGAAATTAATAATGTAACTCATCTCCTACTCAGTCTGCTTGCAACTCTGAAGTTGAAGAAAGGAAGTTGACTATCACTTCCTTCCATTGGGGACACTGGTTAAGTACATTCACAGCCATAAATGTTATACTACAGACTATTCCATTCAGTCACCCATCCTCTGTTATGATGTCTACTAGGACTGATGTTTCATTGGAGGATAGAAATGTCACGATTGCATTATTTTAAGATTTTTGGGAAATATATGTATTTTGGTTCTGCATAAGGAACTCATTTCTCACACTATACAGTGTGCACAATACCTACAGGGACAGACTAGGACACATAGACCAGTGAGGAGCCCAGGGTAGAACCAAAGTTCAACAGGCCTCAGGGGCCAACCATGTGGTGAAGACTTCCTCATAGGTTGTCCCCTATCAGTAGTTATAGCCCCACCTCACTGGTAAATAGGTGTCAGATCATTTAAGACTAGGTTCAGAAAAACACTGTTCAATCACCAGAAGTTTAATGTAATAAGTAAAACCACTATATGATCAACAGAAGTCTAAAAAAATGAAGCGTATGTATGAATGCTACTGGTCTGCTGTTTCTTTGTTTTCTTGTGTTGCAGGAATATGCCTATGCTACAACATCTACATAAGCAGTACCCTGGTGTAGAGCGTCACATTAGAAATTAATGAAAGAGCTTCATGAGAACAGAAGTCATCGGAATGAAACAGCACTAGAAATGGACTCCAAAGGAAACAGACTACACCAAAGACTTCATGACTGTTCAGGCTTCAAGGGACTTTAGTACTCTTAGGCTATATGATTTTTTGTGTAATCATGTAGTTTATAAAACAAGTTACCACCCTTGTTGTTTATGTGTTGTTATAGTTTTGAAAAAAATATTACACCTATGTAAATCTCATCTCTTGATGCTAACAGTGCTACTGATACTTTCTGCTCCACTCTTACATCTTGTTTAGACACTGTCTGCCCCTTGTCTTCCAGGCCAGGCTGTACCACCCCTTCTGCCCCTTGGCTGTCTGATGTTCTCCGCAAGCATTGTTCTAAGCTCAGGGCTGCTGAAAGGGTGTGGCGCAAATCAAAAAATAATACTGACCTCAATGTGTATTAGTCACTCCTCTCTTCCTTCTCTGCTAATGTCTCCACTGCTAAAAGGACATATTATCATAACTAAATTAACAATTCATCTAACTCTCACATGCTCTTTAAAACATTTTCCTCCCTCCTTTGTCCTCCTCCTCCTCCCCCTCTTTCATCAACTCTAACAGCTGACGACTTTGCCACGTTCTTTATTAATAAAATTAAAACCATCAGTGCACAATTTTCCACACCACAATCTGTCAAGCACATCTTACCAGCAAACATACACTCGTTCACATCCTTCTCTTCACTCCCTGAGGCAGAAGTCTCTAAACTCATCCTTTCTAATCATCCTACTACTTGTCCGCTTGATCCTATT